CTTTCCACAGGGGTTGCACCATTTTACACTCCCACCAACAGTGAATAAGGGTTCCAGTTTCCCCACAACCTCACCAGCATTTGTTGCTTGCTGTTCTGTTAAATTCTGCTATTTTGACTGGGGTGAGATGATATCTCATAGTTGTTTTAATGTGGTTGATTGTTTTAACGAGTGTGGTTCCTTCCAGTTGTTACTGATTATCTTATGGGTCAATTTGGCTGAAACTGAGGCATGGGGGTTAGCATAAATGAGCATATATGAATATATAAAAATATGCTTAAGACGTTGCCGCACACTTGTAAATTGACGACCGTGCTTAGAAACACATTTGACGTCATTTGCAGCAACGTGTTAAACACCATATTCTCAGGGTTTCCATCAGTGTCAACTTAACCAGTACTAAGCCTATTGTTGTTGTGTATCATTAATTTGGAATCAACTCATAGCTGACCTTCAGTGAATTTTCAGGGACAGTTAACTGCCCATCATTCTGCACCATGTGCCTTTGAGTTGGCAGCACAACTCCTTAACACTAAGTGACTAGAGCTCTCTGTAACCAGCAAGTCCAGTCTTTATCATTTTGGGGTTTTCCCTACATTTTTCTCCCAGTCTATCCAGGGCCTTCTGCTATCCACCTTGGGACCCAAGCCTGGGACTTGTCAGCCTCTACAAGGCCATGAGCCATTTCCTTGAGCTAACCTATTCTTCTATCTTCTTCCTTGACCTGTCCCCAGCTCTGCCCATCCCCTGTGTATGTGTGTGCATGCACATGTACGAGCATCCACATATGTGTATCCACTGTGTATGAGAAAGAAAGGTAGAGGTTCCAAGAGGGAGTGGAAGCCACATAACGAGATTGACTGAGACAGCGACTGAAATAGGACGGCACACGATCAGACAAATGTTGCTTTGAGTTGGCAGGGCCTCACCAGCACCTAACAACAACATATGTATACAGATGTGTGTACTTGTGTACCTACATGTGTAAGTGTGTTCATATGCACACACACATAAATAACTCACTAACCTGGAGAAGATTCTGACTTACAGTGATACTCCATCTGGTTTCCAAGGCTATAAATCTCTTTCTAGAAAAGGGAGCTCTGGTGGCCTAGGGGTGAGAAGCTACTCTGCAATCAGAAAGGCCCATAGTTCAAATTCACCAGCTACTCTGCAGGAGAAGGATGGGCAATCAATCTCCTTCTGTGCAATTCACTGTCTCTGAAAACCCACTGGAGGGTCTGCTACAGGTCAGTTCGATGGTATACAACAACAACAAATCTCTCTTGAGAAGAGATTGTCATTTTCCCCCTTTACGGTAGGAGTGGATTTGAATCACTGACATTTCAATTAGCAGAGCACCATGTAACATACCACATCACAGAGTGCACGCTCTTAGTCTCATTCCATGTCTGTCTGTCTATATATCAACTTCAACAAATTCGCTCTTCTGGAGAGCTGAACCTAAGGCAACACTTAATGATAATAACAGTGGTAAAACTGCGTGTGAGTGCATACATGTGTAAGTATTCGTTTGCATGTATGTGTGTGTGTGTATAGAGCAAGACCCTCACTCCTCAAAGCAGGAAGTGGATTACAAGGCATTATAGTATGACAAAGTTATTTAAAGATGGTTATGACCTCTATCTGTCCCTTCAAAAGACATACTGAAATCCTAAGCTTTGAAGCCTGGAAAAGAAGCCTAGAAGCATGGTCAGAACAAATCAAGCTGCTAACCCAAAGGTCTGCAGTTTGAATCCACTAGCCACTCCAAGGGAGAAAGAAAAGGCTCTGCTCCACAGAGATTCACCGCCCAGGAAACCCTCTGGAGCTTGCAACTCTGCTGTAGATCAAAGGTCATCAGAACTGACTTGGGGCCAGTGCGTTGGGTTTGGTTGTACTCAGCACTTAGCTGCTGAGTCAGCAGTTTGAAGTTATCTGTGGGAGAAAGATGAGGGCATCTGCTTCTATCAAGATTTCCAGGCTTAGAAACCATGTATGAAGTTGCCCTCTGTCCTATAGGCCACTGTGGGTCAGAATCAATTTCAGTATACTCAACTGGTTTTTTTTATCTGTTTAATCAGTTTTGTAAAAAGCCAAACAGTTACTGTCAAGGTGATTCCAACTCATGGTATTTCCCCATGTGTCAGTACAGAACTTTGCTCTACGGGTCATCCAGGGATGAACTTGGGGGTGATACCGCCCCATATGTCAGTGCAGAACTGTGCATGGAGTCATCCAGGGGTGAACTTTTGGGACTGGCCTGGCAGCACTTTCTCCTATATACATACAGTTCTGGGCAGCCGTGAACTATCAACTTTTCAGTAAGCAGCTGAGTTCCTAAAGTGTTTGCACTCAAGCGCTCTTTAAGACACTTGTAAATGAACTACTTTAGGGAATTAAATACTGTCCTGAAGAAATTTTCAAACTTTAAACCAAAATATACTCTGAAATCTCCACATTTCTTAAAAGTTTGGCTTAAGTAGTAAAAAAATGCTTACTGAGAACTTCATTTGCTTTTTTAAAGATCTTTATGAAATCAAATTGACAACAGTTAACTTGAAAAAATGAGAGTACCTGTTGGGTGGGGAGTTTCTAAGAATGGGGAGGGGAGAAGGTGGAAAGAAGAGGAAGCATGGATCATACAAGGGAGTGCTCCGGGTACTGTGGCAAACTGCAGTGTGCTCTGCTGTGTATGTGCTCAATAACAAACACATAAAATCAGACAAACTGAAAAGTTCAGAGGCTACGCTGGATAGAAGTTGGCCCAAATCCAGTATGAAAACTAAATGGAGACCCTGCCTCCAAGTGACCCCATAGGTCAGGGTGCACCTTCCCTATGCTGTTTGCAAGGCTGCCATCTTTAGAGAAGCACATTCTCTCTGTGGGTTTGATGTGCTGACCTTTCTGTTAGCTGCTGAACACTTAACCACTTGTACCCAGAGGTCCTTACAAAGGTCGAAGTCAGAAAAACCTTCTTATTATCAGTTCCTTCTTACTCCTCAAGAGATAGAGTAATTAGAACTGCCCTACAGAATTGTCTAGGCTAGAATCTTTTCTTTTTTTAACTGATTTTGTAATTATCATTTGAATGAAAGTTTACAAAGACAACTGTTTTTTTCTTCAACTATCTGTATACTTTAGGGCGGTGATCTTTCCTTCCTGGGAGCCTCTGGTGGGTTCGAAGTGCACCTTCTGGTTAGCAGCTCAGCACTGTCCGCCATACCTCACCCACCAAGAGCAGTGTCCTTAGGTAAACAAGAGGAGACACAACCACCAAGACACATGAAGAGGGAGGCTGGGAACAATGTGCCTGCCAGTTGAGGAATGCCAAGAACCCACCTGGAGGAGGAGTAGGATCTTCCTCTAGGGCCTTCAAAGAGTGTCTGGCCCTGCTGCTTACACCATAGCCCAGGCCTTTTAGCCTCCAGATCAAAGCTGTCCCTTGGATTCACAATCAACACTCATGAGAACAGCAGTCCAGGAATGAAATGACATTATATTGGGCAAAACTGCTGTAAAGGATTTCTTTAAAGTGCTAGAGAGCAAGGACATAATTTTAAAGAGTAAGATGTGTCTGATGAACCCACTGTATTTTCTTTTGCTTTATATGCTTCTGAAAGTTGAACAACAAACAAGAAAGACCAAAGAATTGCTATCTTTGAGTTATGGTACAGCAGAGTACTGACTGCTATTTGTTTCCAAAAGAATAAACAAATCATTTGTCTCGGAGGAAGTGCAACCAGGGTGCTCCTTAGCATCAAGGATAGTGAAACTTCATCTCACATACTCTGAGCATCGTATCAAGAGAGGCTAGTCTCATCTCCTCAAAAAGCTGAACACAGATATTCCATATGGCCCAGCTATTCCACTGCTTGGAATATACCCTGAGAAAATAAGAACTGAGACACAAACAGAGACTTGTACATCAAAGTTCATAGCAGCGTTATTCACCTTCGCAAGAACATGGAAAAAGCCCAAATGGCCAACTATACTAGAATGGATTAAAAAACTGTGGTACATTCATCTGATGGAATACTAAGCAGCACTCAGTAGCAATGATTTGAAAATTACCACCGAACTTGGGAGGGACTGGAGAGTATTATGCTAAGTGGACTAACTCAGTCCCCCAAGGACAAGTACTGTATAAGACTATTATTGTAGAAATAAAAAGATAACTAGTAAAATGTGTATGAAGATCTAAGAAGGGTAGGGTAAGAGCTGAGGGGTGAGGATGCGTTTGGGGGGTGTTGTGAATCAGGGTTGCACAGTTTGATAGGTGGAGAGAGGGTGGGTAAAGGAAATGAGAAAGATCCAGTGTGGATCTGGAAAGATGGCATTTGTTTGCATAGTTCAATATTAATTAATTTTATAAAACACAATGAATGGAAATGATTGTATGAACCACAGTATGAATGAAGCATAAGAATGAATATGAACTTCATAATCAAACCAATATAAAATAAATTTGAAAAAAAAAAAAAGAGGGGCCAGTCTGTGGAAAAAGGTATCATGCTGAGAAACCGAGAAAAGAGGAAGACCTGCAGTGCCATGGATCGACACAGTGAGCCTGAGCATGGTGGAGAACATGGGGGTAGTGATGATTAGGACAAGTTTCTCACCTGCGGTCACAGGCTTACTGTGAGTCAGAGGGAACTTGATGGCATCAACAACAAGTTTCTAGAACCAACACAACCAAAGGCTTTCTAGTTAGGGCAATGACAGGAAAAGGATATAGAGACTGGAGGCCAACGGTGGAAAGAACTGTTCAGACACTTAAGTACAAATTTCCAAAACACAAAGAAAGTACTGTCTGAATGGGGGTAGCCCAGGATGGGGAAGGTGGTCCAGTCCATACCTGTAAAGGGCTGCTGCCTGGCCAAATCCCAGACCTTCCCAGCTGAGCCAGCTGTGGTCAGCAGGATGCCATCAGTGGTCGGGTGAAACTGCAGCACTTTCACCTGGAGTGGCTCAGGACCCAGTACCAGTCCAGGGGCTGTGGGAAGGGCCTGGTCTGGGCCTGGCAGCCGCCACAGCTTAACCTGCGAGAAAGACCAAATGTGTGTGAGCCAGGTAGGGAGAGCTAGGTAGGGAGAAGGACTTTCTGCTGGGTCTCCTCCAAAGCTTAGTGCCCACCTCAGCCTATGGGGTCACAGGTTATCTCCACCAGTTCCCAGCAAGCAGATGGGAGCTGGTATAGGCCAAAGGATGTGAAAACGCTGGAGCCAAAGGACGTGAAAATGCTGGCTGCTCCCATCAAAACCCAACTCACGTAACCCTGTTACAGAACAGAACCACGCTCAGTACAGCTTTTTGGATTTTAAATTGTGATCTTATACAGTTTGATAGCTGGTGGGAAGCCCAGGTGTGTACTTGGCTGGGTTCTGGAAGTCCACCTACGTCTTACTTCTGAGACACTCTGGGTGGTCCCAAAGCTCCCACCTCTGATCAGTGTTCCTAGTGCTGTTTCTGGATAAAACCACCATCAGGATGGAACTAACTCACAGCTGACCCTCCATCAGTTTTTTAGGAGGCTGTCATCTGCACAGGAGGAGAGCACCCTTTCTCTCCCCTGGAGCCATGGGTGGATTTGAACTGCCTAAGAAGAGTTGCATTTGATTTGGCAGTACAGCTTCCTACATACAGACTAGGCCACCAGAGCTACAGAAGCACAGAACCGAGTGTGTTAAACCCCGGAGACTCTTCCTGACATTGCATGCAGCCCCGGAGACTCTTCCTGATATTGTCTGTCTGACCTACCGTGGTGGCTTATGTGTTGCTGTGATGCTAGAAGCCATACAAATACCATTTCTTACTTTTTTCCTTTAAATTATGATGTGAGTGAAAATATACAAACAATCAAGTTTTCATTCAACTATTCACACACATTTTGTTTTATGACATTAACGACAATCTCCACAATGAAACTTCACTTTTTCTACTTCCTCCCTGTGATTCTCATTTCCATTCATCCTTCTGCCTTCAGAACTTTCTCCCTGGGCATATGATACCTTTTTAACTTTATAAAGTTGGTTATTCTAAGTAATGAGTGCCTCTCTTATGTTACTGGTCACCTTATAGACCTGTCTATTGTTGGCTAAAAGTTAAGCCATGGGGCTAACTTTTGGATGCCATCATTATGGAATCAGATTGCCAGGCCTTTCCCGTCATGGCACTACTGGGTGTATCTGATGCCAACCTTTCTACTAGAAGTTGATCAGGAACCATATGAAACATCCAGGGACATCTGCCTGCCCTAGCTAGTGCTGAGAGCTGGCCAGTGGGACCTGAGCCCTGATGGGATGGGAGGGCCCAGATCAGAGGTCAGAAGACCCCAGACGAAGGGTGGGGTAGGGTAAGCCAATGAGGAGGAGATCCCCCCACAGGTTCCACTCACCGTCCTATCTGCCGAGGCCGTGGCCAGGAGGAAGTCATCAAAGTGAGAGAAATCGAAGTCTGTGATGAGGCCTGTGAAAAAGATTGGTGCCAGGCTGAGAAGCAACTTCTAGAATGTTGCTTCCAAGCACAGTGTGAGACAAGTTCCCCTACACACACACACACAGAGAGAGAGAGAGACAGACAGACAGACAGAGAGACAAAGAGAGAGAGACACAGACGGCCTGTATGCAGAAGGCACATAGGCAACAACTACAGATTTTTCTGTAATGTTTGTCCCCAGGAGCCCTGCCAAGCACTTGGCCTCAGGAGACTGGCAACAGGGACTCTCAAAGCACCAGTCTCCTGTGTCCTCTTACACCCAAGCCCTCAGGGATGCAAATGCTGCAGAAACATTGGATATTTACAGAACATGCCACCCACCCCACTCTCTATACTTAAACTTCACTCCACCCTTCCGAGCATTCTAGGGAGCTCTGGTGGCTTAGTGGTGAGGAAGTGTGCTGATAACACAAAGGTCCATTATTAAAATCCACCAGCTGCTCTGCAGGAGAAGGATGGGCAAGATCCTCCTGTGTGATTTATTGTGTTTGAAAACCTGCTGGAGGGTCAGTTATGGGTTGGTTCCAACTTGCTGGTACAGAGCAACCACCATTGCCACCTTTCCTTCTAATTAAAACTCATGACAAAGATAGGTCTGAGGGATGTCTAAATAACCAAGTAAGCCACAACTAGTCTACAGAACTTAATAACCTAGTCCAAGTCCCCTCCTACAATGAAGTGACAGCTCTAACCTGCCCATAGCCATACATTGCACCGTGATGCATGGTGGTCCTTTGGGACAGAGACCTGCCTCAAGAGGTGCCCAGGGCTGTCAACATTTCAAGGGCAACTCTCATGCTTCTCCTGGGATTCCCAGCACTGTCAACATTACAGAGTTGACTTTCATGCTTCCCCAGGGGTCTCCAGGGCTGTCAATATTACAGAGGTGACACTCATGCTTCTCCGGGGGTCTCCAGGGCTGTGAACATTACAGGAGTGACTCTCATGCTTCTCTGGGGGTCCCCAGAGCTGTCAATGTTACAGGGGTGACACCCATGCTTCTCCAGGGGGTCCCCAGGGCTGTGAACATTACAGAAGTGACACCCATGCTTCTCTGGGGGTGAGGGGTTCCCCAGGGCTGTGAATGTTACAGAGGTGATTTTTATACTTCGCTGGTGCAGTTCCTAGTGGGTTTGAATGTCTGACCTAATGGTTAGCAGCTTAAAAGGCCATTTATACAAACTGCTGCCAGTGAACTGACTGTGACTCACAGTGGCTCACTGGACAGAGAGAATCGCTCCACTGGACTTGCAGGGCTGTAAAACTGAAGAGGTCTACCTTCATCTTTTCTTGAGGAGGTACTAGTGGACTCCCCCACTTCACCATAAATATTCCTTGAGGCTCCAGAAAGATCTCATCAGATCCATCAGATGCCGGTTAAGCACCAGTAACAGTGACCACAGGTCTTACTGTTAGTCCCAACACATCAGCTCTGACAGAAGTCCACACACCCGCAGGATAGAACTCGGTCAAATCCTCACAACCTGTGGTTTGCCTGAGGCTCTAGTTACCGCCACTGCATCAGTACATTTGATTAAGTGTCTTTCTCTATGTCACTGCTCTTCAGCTTTTCCAAGCACAATGTCCTTTTCCCAAGACTGGTCTCTATTGACAACACGCCCATAGTACATAAGATGAAGTCTTACCATCCCAACTTCTGAGAAGCATTCAAATACACTTCTTATAAGAAAAATTATTTTGTGCTTTTGGCAGTGCCTTATGTATTGGAAGGAACCTAACAATATATACACGTGTGCATATCCACATATGAAGGAGCTCTAATGCTCTAGAGTTGCACTGTCATCCCAAAGGTACGTGGTTCAAATCTACTAGCTCTACAGTGGGAGAAATATGGGCAGTCTCCTCCCATATCATTTACTATCTCTGAAAACTTTCTGGAGATTGGTTTGAAAACCTCTGAAAACTTATGAGTTGATTCCAACTCAACAGTAAAGAACAACAGTATATTCAGTATTCTTTATCAACACCACAATTGAAAGGCATCAATTCTTCTCCAGTCTTTCTAATTCCTTGTCCAATTCCACATGCATAAAAAGCAACTGAACACACCACAGCTTGGGTCAGGTGCACCTTTGTCTTTAAAACAGACATCCTTATTCTTTAGTGTTTTTGAGAGGTTCTTGAAACAAGATTTGTCCAATGCAGACTGTCTCTTAATTTCTTGACTGTTATTTCCACATATGTTTACTATTGATCCAAGTAAAAGAAAACTGATTGGTGACAAGTTCAATCTTTTCTCCATTTACCATGATATTGTTTAATGGTCCAGTTCTATCAATGCTATCAGTGACAGGATAATATCCCATGGCATAAAGGAAAATCTGTTTTACAAACTCCAATACTTCATTGCCATGAAGTCAATTTTTACTCATAGCTGAGCCTCCAGCAGGTTTCTGAGGTTGTAAATCACAGAGTGGTTTTGCTAATAGGTGTCACTGTGTTGCCTTCACTCACAGTGACTGTATGAACAACAAATATGAACCCTGCCCTATAATGCACCATCCTCACCATCTCTGATATATACCTGAGCCCACTGTTACATCATTTTGTCAATCCATCTTGTTGAAGGTCTCTTTTCTGACCCTTTACCTTTCCTAATATGATGTCTTTTTTATAAGAACTAGCTTCTCCAGACAACATACACTAAGTATGTGAGACAAAGTTTCACCATCCTTGCCTCTAAGGAGCACCCCAATTGCACCTTCTCCAGGATATGTCTGTTTGTTGGCAGTCCATGGGATGGTTAAGTACTCTTCTCCAAGACCACAGCTCAAAGGTACTGATTCATCTTCTGTCTGTCATAGACTATACATCTTTCTCTTGCAGAGTCATTGGGTTTTCAAACTGCCAGAGAAGCATGCAGTCTTTAGGTTCACAGCACAACCATCTATGGAGGCCAACAGAGCTCCTCACGGCCTGACAGTATGACTCTTATTCAAATTGACACACCAACCAGTAGCCAAAGACTAAGACATTAACACCTCTGCCGCTAACCCACAGGCAGCTCTTCTCTGGAGATTTGAAACCACAAGTAGATTCAAGGGTGAAAGAGGGCAATCTCTTGTTCAATTTACAGCATCCTGAAAACATGCTGCCGGGTCAGCTAGGAGGTAGTTCCCACTCAAGAGTAGTTTGAGTGATCAATTGGATCAAAATGCATTAAAAAATACATTAATAATAACTGATGCCTGGGACACAAAAGTTGGAAACAAAGAACTTGTGTTGCTGTTATGTGCCGTTGAGTTGCCTGCGACTCATAGTGACCCAATGTACAAGATCCCTAAACCCTGCTCTATCCTGTGCCAATCTTATTGTTTCTGACACTCCCACCCTGATTACCCCAATCACTGAATCAATCCATCTCATTGAGGGTCTTCCTCTCCTGCACTGTCCCTCCATGGTCCCCAGCATGACATCTCTCTCCAAGGAGACCCTTGCAACATGTACAAAGTATGTCAGATGAAGCTTTAGAATCCTTGCCTCCAAGCAGCAGCCTGGTTTAACCCTCTTCAGGATAAATCTGTTGATTCTCTTAGCAATCCATGGTATATTCAATACTCTTCTCCAAAACCACAGTTCAAAGGCATCAATTCTCCTTTTATCATCCCTAGTCACTGTCCAGCTCTCTGATGACCATGGCCTGTATCAGGCACACCTTAGTCTCCAGACTGACATCATGCTCGTAAGTACTCTGGAGGGATCTCTGACAGCAGACTTTCCCTAAGCAATTAAGTCTTGTAATTTCTTGACTGTTGGTGCCAAAAATGTTGATTGTGATGCCAAGCAAACAAAAGCTGTTTATAATCTCAATCTCTTCACCATCCATCACGACTGGAAACAAAGAAGAACTAGTAGTTGGAAAATAATGACTTTGGGACAAAAATAAGGTTGTAGATTGCATAAAAGAATTTTGTAGGAACAAAAATTTATTAATTTGTTACTAGGACTATTTCAATGAAGAGGTGCATTTGAATGGGTCTTTGAAGGTTTGGGGCAGGAGACTGCAAGGCAAGCACAAGTTTGAATCACCACTGTCTCAGTCAGGGTTTGCATCCCAGTGTCAGCGACACCTCCAGGGATATTTGCATGACATCACATTCAGAACTCAAACCCACTGACATCCAGGCAGCTGTGACTCACAGGAACCCTCGACCAGGTTGCTGAAGCTGTAACTCATGAGAAGCCCGTGAGTTAAGTCTGACTCAGAGTGACCATGGAGGGAGAGTATACCAGTCCCTGTCTCGAAGACTGTAATCTTCACAGAAGGAGTCCTGGTGGCTCAGTGCCTTATATGCTGTTCAGTAAACCTTCAAAAATGATAGTTTCTGGCATCTGGAGGGATTCCAGAGGGAAGGAATCCGCCCCTCACAAGGAAATACACATGCCTATTCCAGACATCAATGGGAAGTAGGACACACAAGAACCAGTGACGGGGGAGACTCCAAGGTGCAGGCTTCACGGGCAGGGGTTGAAGAGGATTTCTCAGAAGGGGCAAGGGGATCCTGGAGGGCCAGAACCAGTGAGAGCAATAAGGAAAAAGACCGAGTGGACACATCCTCTATCTCCTAGAGAAATGGCCTGATTTACCCCTTAAGCCAGACTGACTCATTCACTCCTGGGAGGACATCAGCTAGCTCATCTACACTCACTTCCTCTGTCTCTGTTTTTGTTAAAAGCACTTTTTTCAGAGCCATCTTGGACTTATAGAAAAACTATACAGCAAGCTCTGTAAGGGAGCTCTGATGACCTAGTGGCAAGATGTGCTTCAATACTGAGGCAGGCAGTTCAAATTCACCAGGTGCTCCATGGGCAATCACTTCTTGTACAATTAATTGCCTCTGAAAAGCCACCAGAGGGTATGCTATGAGTCGATTCCAACTTGATGGTAAATAATAGCATATAGCAAGTTCAGAACTTCTACATACCCTGTTACTATTATTATCATTCTT